CCTCAATTAGTAAAGTTTTAAATCATGCAAGGATTTATTCGTAATTATTTTTTCAAGCTTCAGTTCATCGTCGAGTGAGTTGGTTCTATTTTATTCTAGACGAAGTTAAATAGCATCATTTACGCTAATTATTTAAAAATATAAAATGCGTCTATTCTATTCTGAATGGGAGCACAAGCTATTATGGTTTTATGTTTGATTTCATTTCAGGTATCAGACATATAATTACCTTAAGCCCAGAAAAAATTCCAGACTTGACAGACACCGAGTTTGAACGGACTTACATACCCATTCCTGAGTGTCATGCACCAACAATAGAAGATATTTTCAAGTTTATAAGTACTATACAGTTTTGTAAGAAAAGAGGACTGGTGAGTTCACTATTGGGGAGCATGCGATTTTATAGCATACCATAAGGAAAGTGACGTGCTAACATAAAAACTCCACATTTTGTTAATATATTGTAACCAGATCACTTGCTTTACTGTCGAATACCGCCAAATATGCATAGCTGTAAAGGTCCTCGATAATTTTTACAGGCTTTTATTCAACTGTTTGTATGTTAGTATGTTTTTTAAATAATGATATAAATATTTGAATTTTAATTTTAAACGGAATATATGTGTGGGACAAATCTTGGAACTAAATTTTGAATCAGTTAACCTTAACCAACTGAGCTGAAATTTTTTACACAAGTTTGGTTTGCGCGACAAAATGAATTAACTGCCGCCATTTTGAATCAAATACGGCGTATGCTACATAATTTCCCTAGTGATATCTATAATATGGGTATCAAAAGAAAGGGTTTGATGAGAGGAACACAATAAGCAAAGTGGCGTCATTTTAAATCCAATATGGCAGCCACAGCAAAATGGCGATTTACATATTTCAAGTGACCCCTAAGACATGGGAAAACAGCAACTGATACAAGGTGTCTCAAACTCGAAGAAGCTCCACATCATAAAGACTACGTTTATACTCGTATTGCAAAGGATTACAATTTATTCAGGGTTTGTATGGTCCTAAGTATCGTTGCCCGAATAGGTCAACGATATTTCACATTCAGCATTTGACAAGTGACATTTGCTTTGGTATGGACTTGCCCAAAAAATTTCTGAAATAGGGTTAAAGTATTTATATCTATAAAGCTGAACCCAAATCTTGATCCAATCCCACTTATTTGAAGGCTTGACCCACCCTGTTGAGAGCACGATCTTAAGTGTTAATAACGGTACACAATTTTCGTGCATAGTCCTACGATCAACCTGTTCAAATCCGTAAACGTAGCGAAAGACTACCTTATAACAAATATTATAGCTATATTGCCTATCGACTGGGCACATGTATCTGTCAATATGACACATCCGATTTATTTGTCAGCTTATGGTTTATTATAGTTTGATCTAAACGGGCTAAGAAAGATGACAAATATTTCGATAACTGGCTTCATTTTCCGACATATACTATGGTAAATACTGAATAAAACTTGACTTTACCTGCCTTAGACATGATGCTTCAGTAGATTGTTTTCTTCTATTCTTTGTTCTCTGAATATAAGGCGACTTTCTGTTAGAAAAAGTTCACGATATGATGACCTTGTTTAATGTAATGTTGACAATGTTACACGAGCTTACTGTGCAAAAACATACTATAAACAAATTATTGTTTTAAGAATAAACACAGCTGATATCAGTTACTGCTTAAATAGCCTGAGCGTATAACGGCTTTTCTCTTATCAGTCTCGTTTTATATTTAAATATATAATTTTATCATTTTACTATTTGCAAGAATTTAGGATAATTACTGGACTGGTTGCGAATACAAAGTTGGATATACTTTTAGAATAGATTTGGCTATGTGCTGGGAACTTTTCTCTATTTTTAAATATGTATAAGCAAGTTTCCAATATGCATAAACCAGTAACTGTTATCTATAACTATCTAAAACTGTAATGACTCATCGATGTTCACGTGAACATCACGTAACTACCAGTAGTCGGCTGTTCATAGGCGGGGTATGAATGTTTAACATGGGTGAATTAGATTTGTCACATGCTTAATAAAGAGTGGTTTGAAACATATTGTAAGTCAAAAATTTGGGAATTACCTTTATTCATCGTCGCTTCCACTTACATCTGACAGTAATAAACTGTCGCTATCGCTTTCCTCGTTGAAATTGACTATAACTGGCTCTATGATGGTGTCGATGTGGTGGTCAAGCTGCCATATTTTTGTTTCTTCCTTCACAACATGACGGATAGCATTCTGCCAAGCTTCGGGCGTTACTAGCTGTATAGAAGTCTCAAGTAAAACCTTAACGTCTGGTAATTTGAAGGTTGTATTATGGCGCGCAATATAACCCTTCACTTGAGCCCAGATGAGCTCTATTGGGTTCAGTTCACAGAGGTAGGGCGGTAACCGCAGCACAGTGACACCACATTGACGGGCCATCTCCTCAGACACGTAACTAATGTTCGCAGGTTTGTGCTGTTTAATTTTTTCATACAATTCCGCTTTCACACATGAATCGTCAAACGGGATTCCTGTTTCGCGCAACCATTGCTGCATGTCACTTTTTCGAGATCCCATAATCGGTACACGTTCGGCTCGACGACTATGGTAGGAAGCATTATCCATGACGATCACAGAGTTGGGCTCAACTCGCTGAAGCACCCCTTGAAACCAGCTCTCGAAGCAGCTGGCATTCATTTCGTCATGGTAATCACCTCCTTTCTTAGAGACGAAAATCAAGTCACACTCTTCTAAAAGCCACTATCGCTACCAATATGAGTTACGATCAATCTTTGACCTTTCCCTGACGGTCCACGAAGACCTGTTGACAAACCTTCAATGCTTGCTTGTCGGTTACTCACTACGTTTTTGTCTATCCAGGTTTTTTTAACTGTGTGACCTGCATTTACTCATGTCTCGTCCAAATAATAGATTTTTCTGCTTTGTCGCCTATATTTAATCATTTCGCGTTGGCATTTTCGACGCCAGGTGACTATTTCAGGTCTCTCTATCAATACTAACTTCCGATTACGCGTTTCGTAGCGAAAATTAATTTCGTGCAGGGATTTCCTCATTACCTCGACGCTCATTTGGGGTATAATTTCATTTTCCTTGATCGCTGCATGTACAGCCTTGAGGGTTGGTATCTCATTCCTAAAGAAGAATGAATGTACGGTTCGCCTTAACGCCATTTTGCTATCGTCATCCAATTTAACGGCCTTTCGTCCCTTCAAATTAAACTTTGGATCAGTAGTAGCTCCAGTTTTCTTCTTTTCATGCACCACCCTGCGAATGGTCCACTCTGGAACGCCTGTCATACTTTCACAACGCGCGAGTGCATCTCCCTGCGACATAGTTCTGTTCAGATAATTGAACACGTTGAGCACGATTTCTTTCGCGTCCCTCTTCAGTGCTTTACGAAGCCGTCTACTTGTTCCCTGGCTTTCAGAACTTCCACTCGTGCCATTTGTACTCTCCATGGTTAAGTATAACCAAAAAAGTAACCACAGAAACCACAACAATAACAATCACACAACAATTCTTATAAAAACACACAATATGCGATCGCTCAACGAAACACGTTCCAATGCGTTGCCGACGCCTATGAGTCTGCCGGTCGAGGCGCGTCTTTGATTTCATTGGTTCTACCGGCGGAGATCAATCAGCCATTATTTCCATCTCTGTCTGTGCTGTTGACTACCGCAAAGCCACAGAAACGACATATGTCGTACGCTATACGGCTGTACTGGAAGGAAGCCGGGATCGAGCTCTGATCACGTGTTGATCACGCGTATGAGTCATTACAGTTTTAAATAGTTGTAGTACTACATGACTTTCTAGCACTAACACCTGCTATACATCAGATTTTTTTGTTTCAAGAACACGTCCTTTGAATTCGTACAGAGTATCCAAAATTATATGCTACATCTCGTGACAGGGTCAACGATGTGCATAATACAAACTAATCAATTAAGTTAATGGTAGAATATCTCCGGAAATGAATAATAGATCCTATAATGAATTAAGCTTCGTTATTACATAGTCGCAGTGCTACTTGTACTCCATATAGGAATCCCTTTGATACATACCATGGCTTTTTATATATACGTAATACACATTATCGATATTAATATTATTCAATTTGAAAATTAGTTTGTTGCAATTTTTTCTCTTGCGTGAAATCTAATACTTTGTGTCTTCTTTAGACTTTTATACAAATTACTGTTCGGAAACCAGTTATGCAGCCTAGACAGTGAAATATCTATATTGGAGACAAGGTGGATCTACCCTTGGAAACAATGCAGCCATAAGGTTTCCTTGCGGGACACTTAAAAGAGGCTTTAATATTTGCATTTCACACTGATTGTCATCACAGGCTGTCATCGATGTCAGATGTGGGGCTAGCATATTTTCTAACACAACACCATGCCAGATTTGTAAATTTTAATTGTACGAGTCTGTTTGTGTGACTTCAATTTTTTGTACATATTCGTAGCTAACTTTTTTCTCAGAAGAGCTAACTTGTGCCGAATCCTATACGAATCAATGCTAACGTTGAGTCAGAGTCAACCTAATTGCCGCCATTTTTTTTTAGCCAGTTGGAGTTCATTGCCGTATGGGCCTTGGCCGGACGGGTGTTATGGTTGCTGTCTATCTAATGTATTTCCACGGCATGGAGCCCATTCAAGCACTAAGGAACCTTCGCTATTTGAGACCTGGCTCTGTGGACTCTGAAGTACAAGAGAAGTGTGTATTAGAGTACCGACCAAACGCAAAGATCAGCAATGATAACAGGATACAGAAGATTACCAAAGAAGGGAATCATTTGCTATCACTTCTCAGGGGAGACAACAGGACTGGTGTCTTGGGACCTCCTAGGAAATGGGACATAGCTGGCATATCTGAATGCTGAAATATTTTCTTTTATAAAATCATCAATAAATCTGTTAGAAGGTAAATTACAGCTTTTTAATGAATGAATAATAAACGATGAGTTGAAGCAATAAACTCTGGTAGAATCTGCAGCTGGTAATTGTTTATTCAGTGACACAGAAGACCTAGCAAAAATGATTTAATGTGCATGAAATTTTATATTCAGTTGACATGAACAAAACGAAGCCATGATTGAATTTTGGAGTGATAATATTCAGTTATATGCACCTAATAACAATGTAAGTGACAAATTTCAGCAGAGCTACTTCATTTTTAGCAACTGCAGTAAAAATTTTTAACATTAAGTAGTATTGTGGATGCATATGTACTTCCAACATGACGGCGCAGCTGCGCATTATCATAATCGTGTGCGTAACTATCTGGACACCTGGAGTAACAATCGTTGGATCGGTCATGATGGACCTATATCTTGGCCTCCTAGATCACCAGATATGACACTTCCTGTGTGGCTACGTTAAGTAAGAGGTTTATAGATATCCACCATCTACCCCGGAAAATATGAAGTAAAGGATTAAGGATGCTTTTCTGACATGCTGACGTGCTGAGGGATGTGGAACGGTCATTCATTCATTCCTAGCTTACGTCACGCAACTGTGGAGTAAACTCATCCAGTCTCATGGTGAAGCTCTTGACATCACGAAAGCGTTCGATCAGCTGTGGCACGCTGCCCTCTTGAGCAAACTTCCATCCTACGGCCTCCCAGAAAAGCTTTGCAGATGGGTGGCTGACTTTATCTCTGGCCGCAAGATATCCGTCGTAATTGACGGATTCTCCTCTTCATCCCACAACGTCAACGCGGGTTTTCCCCAGGGATCGGTCTTGGCTCCAACACTGTTTCTCTTACATATCAACGACCTCCTTTCCTGCACGATCAACCCAATCCACAGCTTCGCTGATGATAGCACTCTACATGCAGGAATTCAGAGTGACAAGCCGATCTCTGCCGCTGAGCTGGAAAAAAGAAGACTAGCGACGACTTCTTCTCTGACAAGAGACCTGGAGGCTATCACTGCTTGGGGACGCAACAATCTTGTACAGTTCAATGCTTCCAAAACACAGTACTGTACTTTGACGAACAAAAAGCGTCCTAGCGCTCAGTTTCGATGGACGGTCGAGTCCTACCAAAGAGCCATTCTTTTCGGCTGGTCGGAGTCCAGATCACCGAGGACCTGATCTGGCACGAACACATCTCTTCAATAGCTGCAGCTGCTGGGAAAAAGCAAGGCTATTTGTTTAGGGCTAAGAAGTACTTTTCTCCGCATGACCTTCTCACTCTATACAAGGCCCAGATAAAGCCTAGCCTCGAGTATTGCTCACACATTTGGGGTGCTGCCGCCCCGACTACATTGTCCATGCTCGATGCTGTCCAGAGGAGGGCGGTCCGACTGATCGATGACTCTTCTCTAACAGACAGTCTCGGGACTCTTTCGCACCGGCGGGCCGTCGGCGATCTGGCTCTTTTCTATCGCTACACCAACGGGCTTTGCTCCTCAGAGCTCTCTTCCATGATGCCGCCGCGCGATGTGCCTGCCAGACAGACCCGCCTGACTTCGGCGTCCCATCCTAACCGTGTCAAACTTCGTACATCCAGAACTAGCCGATACGACCGCTCCTTTGTCCCGAGGGTGTCTAGATTGTGGAACAAACTACGGGAGGAAGCTTTTCCCAGTTCTACTAACCTTAGGCAGTTCAAAAATCGTATTAACAAGGTTTCTTTGGGATCATCATAGCAGCCGCGGTGTTCCGGCATTTAGGCTTCTGCATGCGCGGCTGTTTCGATATAAAAAAAAAAAAAAATTCAAAGAGTACGGTTGTGTATCCATCATGGTGGAGATATTTTTGAGCAGTTTTTGTAGATTAGGTGTTGAGTAGTGATAGTTGTCTGTTATGTTGTTGTTATAGTTGTTTTTCTCTATTACGCTTGAAGCTGATTCATATTGTTCTGATTGTTATTAGTTTGTACGTCAAATCTGTACTCTTAGTGGCAATATGGAACTAGCCCACTGTTTGTCTTTTGTTTCCATGGATGATGTGATTTTTTTCCTTAATTTTGGTGTGTTGTTCTATTAAAAGCTTAATAACTCAAAATCTAGTGATTTTGTCTGAATCAAACCTTATACAAAAAAGCTTATGAAAAATTGGATCAAAACTTGCATCTGAGATTTTTATAAAAAGTACAATTCGCGTTTTTGACCACCCTGTATGAGCAAAAATTAAAATTCGAAAAAGTAACTAACAAGTTGAAAGCTGAGGTGCGCAAGTTTTCTTTTTACTCCAAATTTCAAATGACGGATTGAGAGGTTGCCGATGTGGGGGTTTTTCTAGACAAAACACCTTATATCTCAGTAGCTAATTACCAAAACCCCATAGTATGTTATATCAATTTTCTCCTTTTGAATTGGTTTATCCAAATATGCAATAAAATTTGAGGCGTTCCACTTGAAAAATCACAACTTTGATATGTAGGTCGAAATTGGGACACCCTGCATAATAGCCAGTATTTTATAAATGTGTCATCAAATGTCACGTATGATATGGTATAAATAGATTTCCCAAAGTGTATTTGTTTATGAGTAATATTCCGTCCACACATGGATGGGCCACCCTGTATAGCACAGGAAAGGTTTTCAGTTAGAGAATACAATATTTCACGTACTGGAAAAAATCATAGAAAAGAGAAAATAAAAAGTGATTACAATGTGGGCAAAAATTTACTTTCTACCTTATAATCATGGTAAGGTATGGTACAACGTTTTTACAAATTGTAATGGCAAATACGATTACTGTTTTTACTTTACTGATTTTACCTAAAATAACCCTGTAGAGTTGCTCATTAGAGCTCCCATAATACACAAAGAAATGAACAAGAAGTTATCTCTATTGCACATTGGGATAAGAATAAAATAAATTCAAGTACAGTAAAATTATAAAGCAGGAATCCTTAAGGGTAATCGAGCAGATTACGATCTGATTGCAATCATTGGCTTCATTTTCTGTTTATTTCTCCGCTGCCGGTGAACCGATTTTCAAAACTACAGATCTTTTTTGCCCTTGGTATAGTAGCAATATTGTGTTAAAATTTCACGCAAACGATGCTCCTCAAGCTTTAGATGGGCCAAGGATTAGAGGACAGTCAGACAAACAGACAGTCTGAAACACCGACGGAAATGAATGGCATGGTTTTTCATAATGTACATAACATCTAAAAACACAATATCTCATGGTCGAAATTGGCTTGCGAAAATGAGTGACACCTTGTAGGAGAATCATCCCGAACTCGAACTTATACTGAGTGAAAAAAAAAAAGGTAAATACCTAAGTATGTTTATCCGATTCCAATAATTTTTGGCATATACGTGTATGTTCAGTGTCCCTTAATAGTAAAATGAATAAATGTTCTGCTTCATTCGTCAACTAACTGCAGAAGCTGGTTCAATAATGTGTTGAAGGTGTTGTAAATTCAAGAGCCTGCTACCTGTCATGTCCCAGACGTGTTCAATTGGAATAGGTCAGGCGATCGTGGTGGTCAAGGTAACGGCTGATGCGATGTTGATCCATGAAGGCTAAAAGCGCAATTCCACAGAGGCAACAATGAACATGTGACATCCTACTTGTTTCCTAGTGTTGCATCTTGTTGACGTTCTACAGTGTTTTCCAAAATTCTATTAATGCGCATGCGGATTTTGTTCCCCTATGTAGCATGTGCTTTGTCGTACATGAGTGTAGCAATGCATCTTCACGATTCAATCAAGCAGCTCCAGTTTAGTACGCCATGTCATTACAGACAGTCGCGGCCGCTGCTTATTCAGTAATTTCTTCGGATCGTAAAAGAAAAAGAAAAACGCCAGAATATTGGAGAAGAAACATACGCGCAGATGGTCAAGAAATTCAGTACAGTTTGTACAACAACTTGGTGGCTGACCATGATGCTTTATTTCGAAATTTAACACGGATGAGTAAAGACGATTTTCACAACATACTTGAAAAAATCTTACCTATGATAAAAAATGTGATACCAACTTTCGGCAAGCAATAATGCCCCGCGTGAGATTACTAGTGACATTAAGATATTTGGCTAAGAGTGATAGTTATCTATCGCGAACAATTGTACTTTCCTATTTAAAGAAATCAACCGTTAATAAATCATCCAACTATGGAAAAAAATGAGATTTTCCTTCTTGCCCCTTAAACCATAACCAACCGCAGACAGTACTGTTTCGGGGTCATTAGCCCTCGTCAGTGCGATATAGGTGTGCTCGTCTACTACTGGTAAGTCAAGGAGACAGCTGGACAAGAAGCAAACATCGTATACGTCTAAAAAACCGAGTACGGTACGCTATACTACAACTATTTAAAACTGTAATGACTCATACGCGTGATCAACACGTGATCAGAGCTCGATCCCGGCTTCCTTCCAGTACAGCCGTATAGCGTACGACATATGTCGTTTCTGTGGCTTTGCGGTGGTCAACAGCACAGACAGAGATGGAAATATAGCTGATTGTTTCTCCGCCGGTAGAACCGATGAAATCAAAGACACGCCTCGACCGGCAGACTCATAGGCGTCGGCAACGCATTGGAACGTGTTTCGTTGAGCGATCGCATATGGTGTGTTTTTTATAAGAATTGTTGTGTGATTGTTATTGTTGTTGGTTTCTGTGGTTACTGTTTTGGTTATACTTAACCATGGAGAGTACAATGGCACGAGTGGAAGTACTAAAAGCCAGGGAACAAGTAGACGGCTTCGTAAAGCACTGAAGAGGGACACGAAAGAAATCGTGCTCAACGTGTTCAATTATCTGAACAAAACTATGTCGCAGGGAGATGCATTCGCGCGTGTGGAAAGTATAACAGGCGTTCCAGAGTTGACCATTCGCATGGTGGTGCATGAAAAGAAGAAAACAGGAGCTACTACTGATCCAAAGGTTAATTTGAAGAGACGAAAGACCGTGTAAATTGGATGACGATAGCAAAATGGCGTTAAGGCGACCGTACATTCATTCTTCTTAGGAATGAGATACCAACCCTCAAGGCTGTACATGCAGCGATCAAGGAAAATGAAATTATACCCCAAATGAGCGTCGAGGTAATGAGGAAATCCCTGCACGAAATTAATTTTCATTACGAACGCGTAATCGGAAGTCAGTATTGATAGAGAGACCTGAAATAGTCGCCTGGCATCGAAAATACCTACGCGAAATGATTGAATATAGGCGACAAAGCAGAAAAATCTAATATTTGGACGAGACATGGGTAAATGCAGGTCACACAGTTAAAAAAAGCTGGATAGACAAAAACGTAGTGAGTAACCGACAAGCAAGCATTGAAGGTTTGTCAACAGGTTTCCGTGGACCGTCAGGGAAACGTCAAAGATTGATCGTAACTCATATTGGTAGCGATAGTGGCTTTTTAGAAGAGTGTGACTTGATTTTCGTCTCTAAGAAAGGAGGTGATTACCATGAAGAAATGAATGCCAGCTGCTTCGAGAGCTGGTTTCAAGGGGTGCTTCAGCGAGTTGAGCCCAACTCTGTGATCGTCATGGATAATGCTTCCTACCATAGTCGTCGAGCCGAACGTGTACCGACTATGGGATCTCGAAAAAGTGACATGCAGCAATGGTTGCGCGAAAAAGGAATCCCGTTTGACGATTCATGTGTGAAAGCGGAATTGTATGAAAAAATTAAACAGCACAAACCTGCGAACATTAGTTACGTGACTGATGAGATGGCCCGTCAATGTGGTGTCACTGTGCTGCGGTTACCACCCTACCACTGTGAACTGAACCCAATAGAGCTCATCTGGTTATATTGCGCGCCATAACACAACCTTCAAATTACCAGACGTTAAGGTTTTTACTTGAGACTTCCATACAGCTAGTAAACGCCCGAAGCTTGGCAGAATGCTATCCGTCATGTTGTGAAGGAAGAAACGAAAATGTGGCAGCTTGACCACCACATCGACACTATCATAGAGCCAGTTATAGTCAATTTGAACGAAGAAAGCGATAGCGACAGTTTATTACTGTCAGATGTAAGTGGAAGCGACGATGAATAAAGGTAATTCCCAAATTTTTGACTTACAATATGTTTCAAACCACTCTTTATTAAGCATGTGACAAATCTAGTTCACCCATGTTAAACATTTATACCCCGCCTATGAACAGCCCACTACTGGTAGTTAAGTGATGTTCACGTGAACATCGATGAGTCATTACAGTTTTAGATAGTTATAGTATAGCAAGTGGCCGTAGCCACCAACTACTCGTATTTTTGCCTCCTGTAATTTATCCTGCTTCAGTCAATACGTGGATTCATGTCGCTGACGGCGCCCTCGAGAGGCAAAAAACGGGCAAATTGTGGCATGCAGCTAGGAGACATTTTTTTTTGTCGCTTTGTGTTGCCTCTATGGAAAGACAGCGTGCCGCAGGCGTCAATGTCAAAATTTGCCTCGGTGGAATTGCGCCTTAACGATGCTCTGGCAACATACGGTCTGGCATTGTCTTGCTGATGATGTTTAGGTATGGAATAAGATGAGACTTCACTACTTTCTGAATACAGCGTCGAGCTGTCATATTGCCTGTGATGAAAATTAGCATAAGCAATAGCACCCCATACCATAACTCCCACGGTTGTGGTGGACGTGACGCTCTTTGACAAATTGTGGGTTACGTCTTTCAACACGTCGCACAGGTGCTCCTTTATAGGGATCAGGACAAAATTCGATATCTTAA